ACAAATTACGATTGGAATGGCTCCTTGAGATCCTGGCCGCCTGTAATGGTTTAATTTCTTCTCTCCACATACCGTCAACATTATCCTCACTGTCTGTGTAGCCTTTCATACAATACTGTTGGCGTTGTTTCGTCATACAATAATTATGCAACAGCACACAAGTCATTATTAACAAGGTTGCATTTTTGTGTTTAGCTGCTAGAGTCTGTTTTAGGATCCTCCATCTAGATATCAGTATACCCAAGGCATTATCAATGTGTGTTTTAGCTCTGGATAGTCGATAATTGAAAACTTTTTCCTTGTAGGAGAGGTTTTTGCCTCCATAAGGTCTTATTACGTGAGTTGTAGGAGGAAACTCTACATCAGCCACAAACATATATGGAATTTCAATTTCTGTCTCATAGTCCAATAGTTCTGGTGTTGGAATACCTATTTTACCTTGTTCAATAAGTTCATTAAACAATAAATTATTCTTAAAAATTCCTCCATCAGTTGTACTATCAAGCACATGAATGTCTATCATAGTAAATTTATAATTTGTATCGCAAGCTGCCAAAAGAACCAAATTTCGGGGAGTTTTGTCATCTGGATAATCTGACTCTGAATTATCTGGTGCTTTTAGAGAAATCACTTTAGCGTCCAAAGCTCCTAGACAATGCGGGAAATCACACTTATTTTCAAATTTAGCAGCAATAGATTCCCATTGGTCAGCATTACGAGGAATATCCAGAAATTCATTTACCAAACAATTCGAAATAGTTTTACAAGTATTATAAATACATTTTTCCAATATAGATTCTTTCAGGTTGAATGTCCAAGCTAAACTTTTTATAGAGTCACCCTTAGGGTCCTGGTGAGCTAAATACCGTAGAGTCATGTATAGCAACTGCTCACAGCTTATTTCATACCTGGTATATCCTTTCCAGGGTATTTTATCGTGAATTTTTAAAAGTAATTGATTAAAATTGCTTCTAGACGACATTCTAGTTAAGCTGAAAAGTTCTCGGGGAATTGTGTATTTAATGGATTTGAAATGCTTCAAGGCCTTGCTTGCCCTTTTTTCACCTCTCAGCCACTTTCTACGCTCTTGTCTTTTTTGACGTAACTTCAGGCCTAATAATATCACACAGGAAGCCGCCAGTACCAGCGTTCTATGTCTAGTACTGTACATTGTAATTTAGTGTACTGTAAGAGATAAAACAGAAAAGTTGAAGAATGTATTTACAACTAAATTCTCAAAGCTTACCTGTGCCAATACACTTGAAAGCAGAAGTCAACATTGACAGGCATGAATCAATGCGTATTTGCAATGCTGTTAAAAAATAGTCTATTATACTTTTTGGTATTTGAATTTGATGAGCACTAAAGCCCCAAGAGTTAAAGTAGAATCTAGAATAAAAATAGAAACTAAACAGTGAGGAGTGAGGTTACTTTAAGTCCGTTGTGTTTTGTGTTTTGATATTTGAAAATTGTTTGTTTTTTTCTATTGGCATAGCCGTTTTCTTTTTAGTCACAAGACAAGCTCCGGAACTACTTGTTCGGAGTGATTCCTAAAAACAACACGCCGCTCAAAAAGTGCGAGTTACTGGAATTTGCTTGACGAAATCACTCGCAGGTGTAAAATGAAGGAAGAGATCATAAGGGGGTGTTCATTTGTACTGCTTTTCTTGCTTCAAGCAGATCTAGCAGATTGGCGTTCACTTGTTCCGTATATTATAAGCTCATAAATAGCAGCTCCCAGCAGATCATTTTAATTTTCGAGCAGGTAGAGCAAGTACAAATGAACAACAGGGTGCGAGTGCGATTTTATGGATGTGCCTGGTCAATTGGTCATTGGGCCCAGAGCTGGGCAGGGCTTGAGTGCTTTGTGCTTGCGAAAGTGCTTGAAGCAATTTGAGGGCTTGAAAGCCCTGTGCTTTAAGCCCTTTTATAGATTTGTAATTGGGGTTTGCAAAGTCAAGTACTTTAGAAAAGTGCTTGGTAATTTGTAATTGAAAAAAGTAATTCAAGCCCTTTCAATGAGCTCCAATTACTTAGCACTGGAACGCGCAAAGCAATTGTGGAGCACTCCTGAGCTGCTCAGGAGTAACTCAAATGGGTCACTGGAAAGCACCTCAGGAGTAATTCAAATGGATCACTGGAAAGTAGCTAATGCCTGATTGCATCGTCTCTCTTAACTGAGGCTTAACGATAACTATCCCTTAAATTGACAGTTTAGCATGGGAAAATGTCACTTTAAGGAATAGTTATCTTTAAGCCTCGGTTAAGAGAGACGGTGCAATCGGGCATAATAAGGCAGAGTAGTTGTTTGTCAGAGTGTTCTGACATCATCACTTGGAGTGCACTCTGGGCACGTCAACTCTCGATTTCTGAACGATTCCAGGGTAATACTCCGAATGTTCAGCTGTTAATTTATGAAGGGTTTAGAGTTACTCTCGTTCACTTCGACACCCAGAGTACTATTTCTAAACGCAACCCTGTTGTGTTTGTGCTTCAAGCGCGGTGCAGCACAGTGTTATGTGTTTGAAACGCAGTTAGCATCTCTCGAAGCGCAGTACGGCTGGAACACGAACACGCATTTGTGCATTTGCACGCGCAAAAGCTCAATTGATTGCGTGCTCAAAATGGTCAGCTGGAAAGCGGCTCTTACACCAAGGTTCCTAAAATTATTAGGTTCTAGATGAACAGCCTACATCACGCATCACGTTATTTATCGCGTTTGATTATTCTGCAGTCGCTCCGGACATTTGGTTCCGGTGCAATTGCACTGTGAAATAGAGCAGACGTAGTGGCGATTCCACCCCGACACTGGAATGTTGGTGCAAACACTTTACGTCAAGTCCAGAAACGACACGCTGTCTACGTCATCGGATGAACCTGCACCGAGCACACTTTTTAAATAAATGAACGGTAAATTCAAGCTCGGAGAACTCAGATTAAAATATCGAACAGAAGTGGTGCGTACGATTTGTCTGAACCGGTTAGCGTTAGTGCGGTGCAGTTATGTTTTGGAACGCAACCGATTTAAGCTACACATCTAAAATGTTACGTTAAACGGTACGAATGGTGTAAAAAGTGCGACATTAATGACGGATCAGGGTAAAAAAGTGTCAGTAGTTGGACTTATCGTACGCACCTAAGGTAAGAAGTGCCAATTAATCGGAGATCACTATAAATAGTTGTATTCCTTTCAAGAGATTAGACTACTAGAGCTACTCGCTCTGGTGCTATTCGACCCCGATTTGAAAGGAACAGATGCGCTAGCTTTCGTGCATTTAAATGGTTTGTTTTGGGCTTGAGCACTCGGGGCCGCATTCACGATTCGACAACCCGGGTTAATGAGCTTAAATTTCCCTCGGTGTTTTTTATGGAGGAATTATTAGAAATTACTGGGCCGAGTTCAGAAATAACGCACAGGGTGCGAGTGCGATTTTATGGGTGTGCCTGAATTGACAATTGGCCATTGGGCCCATAGCACAGTCTAACATTTTTGAACAGCTAGGGCGTCGCACCGGTGTCACACTCACACTGGGTGTGTCATTCCTGAACTCGCCCCTGTTCTTGCAGACGTAAATGGGGCGTAATCTAATTTTGACATAGATTAGAGAGTTCTCGTGCTGTCCAAATTTCAAATACCGTAACGCTATTTAACAAATATGACAGTTCTTACGGTATTAGCGTTAGCGGAGCCCGCTATCTATCTAACGGGACTTAGCGGATGCCTTACCGTAACGCTATCCTATGTCAAAATTATTTTACGCTCCATTTCCGTCTGCAGAAACAGCAACTTCTAATAATTCCTCCATAAAAAATTAATCTTACTCAGATTCTTCAGGATAAATAATAGGCCTGTTCGCACAGCAATCACAAACCAGTCAGAGCGAATCTCATTGGTTGAAACTAGTTTTCTGACTGTTTCTGACTGTTTTCGACCAATGAAATTGGCTCTGACTGGTTTGTGATTGCTGTGCGAACATGCCTGATAAGTTAGAAAAAAATTGGGTTAGATTACTCAATTCAGCTGTCAAAGTGTGAGCAGAATAAGGAATTGGAGGATTTTTGCGTATTCGTGTCCGAGAACTATAAAATACCTACCATGTAAAATACCGTATTGTTAGCTGTACCGTATTAGCGTAGCGTCTGAGGCACGAGAACTCTCTAATAGCGTTACGGTAAGGCATCCGCTAAGTCCTGTTATGTAACGGGCTCCGCTAACGCTAATACCGTAAAAACTGTCATACTTGTCAAATAGCGTTACGGTATTTGAAATTTGGACAGCACGAGAACTCTCTATTATCTAGGTGAAACTAAAGCCTAGTACTCATAGCCGCGAATTTTAATCTGTCAAATGTAAATATAATCAACCAATACCCAATACCTACGTCACAGCCTATTAACTTAGGAACCGTGTCACTCAGGGGTGCGTTCAAGGACAGCAATACTAATGCCTACAACTACAAAACCTACTTTTCCCCCTCCACTGGTAATGCCGAACCACGTAGGTTGGAGCCGAACTCGAACGCAAATGCCAATTTTGGCTTGGCTGTAGCCTTTAGGGCGGGTATTATAAAACTACTTTGAGAGTTAACTTCTAGAATTACATGTAATTCATAAAGTTAACTGTCAAAGCAGTTTTATAATACCCACCCTTAGTTGTATTCCTTTCAAAGAAACACTCGAGCTACTCGCTCCGGTGTTTAGTAGCCCCCGATTTACAGGGAACAGATGCGTGGTACAACAAACACTTTTTGAAAGGAATAAGCGCGTGAAGCCCCGGAGCTGTTCCGGAGCTCCTCCTAGATGTGAAAGGAATACAACCATTCCTGAACGCAGCCCAAGGTGTCCTGTCAATGTTGCCAACATCACAAAAAAAAAAAAGCAAATTTGTTATTGGGCGGGTTCCGTTTCCAAACCAGGTTAATCGGTCGGTACCAAGGCTGTTTGAAAGAGGTAGGTTGCCTGATAACTTTTATGACGTCATTTGGGATCAAGAACATAATGCAAATCTGCATTAGATACTCCTCTTGACGTCATCTATCTGTTTCCCATTACGAGACAACCTGTTAACTTTACGAACCTTGGGTCGGTACAACGTCGGTTGACAGTGGTTGCTGGAAAAAAATCGACGCCGGTTGCCTTGGTGACATAAGCATTTTCAGGAATCGCGTTCCGTATAGACCGGTTTTTCAGGCACCAGAGTCCAGAGCAAGTCCAGAACAGAGATTACGGAACTTGTAGCCGTAACCAAGGTTGGAAACGGAGCTCAGCCTTGTTATATTTATATTTTTTGACAGGTGACAGAAACAATTTTTAATAAAAATACAATTTTAAATTTTCTAAAAATTAAGGCAAACAACATTTTACATTTTACGGAATGGGAGTCTATGATTTTATAAACTTCGTTGTGTACGATAATCCAATATCCAAGTCAGTAACGTCCATGGTTATTGTAAGTATAAATAAAAAATCAAATTCAATGCAAAAAAATAATTACACCATTCAATTTTTAGCAAAACAAAAAACCCTTGCCAGATGTGAGGGTCGTAGCTGCTGAACAGTCGCCCCTTTGGAAACTAGCCAGCGAGGGTGGCCCCTTTATTCGCATAGCTGCTGTAATGGGCGCCTCGGCAGTTGCCTTGGGCGCCTATGGGGCCCACAGATCCTACCCAAAAGATGCGCCTGAACTCAAAATGATTTTCGAGACGGCTAATAAGTATCATTTTTTCCATACGTTAGCTTTGATGGGTGTACCCATGTGTAGGAACCCAAAACTTGTGAGTAGAATAAGACACTTTACTTTCCCTTTCTTCAAAAACATATTTAAATTATTTTGTTATAAGGATTTTTACACTATATTTATGATGACGTCACATTTAGTAAATTTCTGCTGCCAACCTAACAAAACTAAAAGTACTTTTTAAGGCATTTAAAGTAGGGGAATCTCAGATGTTTTTGGTTGGCAACTATTAGCCTTTTCATTTTGTTATTTTTAGCTGTCCTCAGAATTATTAGAGAGTTATTGGACTTGCAATAAGGACAAACAGTATTTAAGTTAGCCTTATTTTGACATCTACGCATGCGCATTTGGGTCCGAAAATGAAGATTCCCTTAATAAGGTTACTGCTTGTCTTTATTTGTGTATGGTTAGTGCGAGGCAGTAAACTTCCCTTATTTCAAATTTCTGACATTTTGGACGACTTTGACGTTTCGCTTTTCGACAATGACGTAATTTTACTTAGAATAGTATATTGTTGTATTAAATCAAATCAAATCAAAAAAGCTTTATTGTCCAAAAAATTATGCAAATTCCATTGACAAAGCAAAAAAAAAAAAAAGTCTAAAATTAATTTCCTATATCCTAAAAATGTATACTAAGTTAAAATTTAGATGTCAGTGTTGAGAGTAAAAATAAGACAAAAAACTAGAAAGACAAGCAATAAAATAACAGTGAGAATTCTATATACAATCAACAACACCTGAACAGTTTACAATACATAAATAAAAGAACATTATCATGGGCTAGATTTGATAGCGTCCAGATACCTAAGCAAATCCAACACAGAACCGACGAGTTAGCGCGGGATGGTAGCAAAATTTCTAAAAAACAATCATCACTATAAATAAAGTCAAACACTACATGAATCAGTTAAAGCCTATTAAAAATAAATAATTTAGTAATTGAAAAATTGAAAATATCACAGTTTAAGAGTCACAGTTTAAAGATCACAGTAAAAGATTAGTCTGAGTAGAATTCCCCAAGACTGTAATAGGCTTTGGTTTCCAGAAATCTCTTTAAAGTTTTTCTAAATTGTCCATAGTCCTCCACACCCTTTATTTCGTCTGGCAGCTTGTTGAAGATCTTTATGCTCTCATATATAATAGAATTTTTCGTTAAGGCAAATTTCGGAATGGGTAATGGAAAATTTTGGTTGCGTAGGTTGTAACCAGTGTCTCTCACTGTATCATTTTTTTTAAATATTAGACAGGCCGTTTCCAAAAGGAATATGCAGGGAACTGTCAAAATTCTTTCCCGTTTAAAAAGTGGTCTGCAGCTCTGTCCGTATCCTGCATGGCAAATATATCTTACTGCTCTTTTTTGTAGTACAAACACCGATTGGATAGAGTTTTGAGTGGAAAACCCCCAGAATGCTATTCCATAGCGAAGATGCGATTCGATCAGTGCATGATATGTTGTTTTCGCGGCAGGCTTACCCAGTTCATGTGCTATAGATTTAACTATATAACACCCTTGTGAAAGTTTTTTATTCAATAAATCTATGTGTTTGTCGAATCGCAGCTTCGAATCTATGTGCAATCCAAGAAATAAAGCTGTTTCTTTCTCTGCGATAACATTTTCATCTAGTGAAACATTTTCAATGCTACATTTAAATGTTACAATACTTGTTTTCGACACATTAAACACCAGACGATTACAAGCACACCACTCCTTAACCAACAGCAATTCCCTTTCCATAATTTCCGCAAGAACTGCGGCGCTTTTGTTTTTCCATAGAATGGTCGTATCGTCGCAGAAAATCACAAAAAGACCCCCAATGGGCAGGTCTGCTAAGTCGTTTATATATTAGGAGTAGAAGCTTTACTTTTTTGTGCTGAAGCAGTAGGTTTGCGAGCCGAACGTAGTGAGGCTTGCAATACTGCTGAAGCACCTACTACAGTCTTCCAATAAGGGCGAATTCTCATGAGCGTAAGTTGACATTTCTGGCGTAATCACGTGATAAAATGGTTGGGTTTTATTGGCAAAATATTTGACATGTTGGATATTTTACCAATTAAATTACATCATATTATCACGTGATTACGCCAGAAATGTCAACTTACGCTCATGAGAATTCGCCCTAACTGTTTTTTTCTTGGAAAAATAGTGCTGATGCACTAATAAAATAACGTAGATCCCTAATACTGCAAGGCAGTATTTAATAGTTCCAATAACTCTCTATTGATACATGACATTATGGTAAATTATAAGGAAGAAAATAGGGATTGACAACATTGTCTGTTCTTGTTCGATGACGTCATCCCAGATATAACATAAAAAACCTATAATCATCATTAACATCTGTATACTTTTTTCAAGAAAAAAAAAACGCCTATTTTTGTGATTCAAATGATTTGGAGATCGAATTTTTATACACCTGTGAAAATGCGGGTTGGGACTGTGACGTCAGAGTACCAAAAATGCGACGATGCCGAATTTCTCATCAATATTATCTATCTTTGTTTCGCTCATGTGGATTCGTCGAGTCTGTTTTTTCTGTATCCCATCGTTAGGAAAGCTTTTTAGTATCCTTCTCTTTTATTGACAATTAGACATAGACAAAGCTATCCATTGTACTACAAATAACAGCTCACTACCTAGAACAGAACCTATTTGTGTCCTGTGGTTCTTTAGTACAATAAATGTAAATGGCTCCATGTTGTTAAATCTTGACCAAAATCTGTATCTCTTTTCTATTTCAAAGTATCATTTCTCTTTTTCAGGCTGGTGCTTTCCTGATATCCGGAACAATGATATTTTCCGGCGCCCTATACTATCACGCCTTGACTGGCGAAAACAAATTTGGCCGATTAGCACCAATTGGCGGCACAATGTTAATTCTAGGATGGCTCTCAATGGTTGTTTAAATAAAATTGAATTACGTTTCAGCAAGCATTATAATATTTTTAGGTGTTAATGAACCCCGATTTATTGCTTAAACCTGTACCCAAGTTGTAGTTTACTTAACATGAAACACATATAATAATTCGTGGACTGCTGGATATGTTTTGTCACAAATTTAATTTTCTAGTAAATTATCTGTGATTTTTATCTTTTATTTTATTATTAATTTGAGATTACTAGTTTTAAAGGTTTAATTATTGTGTTTAAAAGAAGTAAAAATGTAATTATATAATTCTGGGTTGGTATTTATTTACAGAATTTAAACTAAATAATCTTCTCATTGTTTTATTGTTAAACTTAATATTAATCATAATTTTTCAATAAGGCCTATCTCTCCTCTCGTAACGATTACTATAATGCCTGTCTCGATTGTAACCTTGCTGTTGTCGATCGCCTCTATCGTCCCAATCTCTGCCCCGCTGGTTACCGTGCTCGTTATGTCTGCTACCTCCAGCCCTGTTATTGAATCTGGACCTGGTGTACCAAGGATACATGATAGGAGGCCGAGGAATACCTTCCTGGTACACTTTTTTGTAATCCTGATCGGCCTCCGTGAAACGATCGGAAAACTCCAGGTTGCACTCTTCTAGGAACTTTAACTGATCTGGATTAAGTGACATTTTATTATTTTAGAATGTACGGTTTTTGAGATTCCAAATTTAAATGGGGGCTTGTACTTGTTTGTTTACAAATAAATTTTTGTTTGGGGTTTTTTGAGGTTAGGTTAGATTGACAGCTGACACTGGCAGTCAAATTCGGAGTGAATTCCGTTTGGTTGAGTTCGGTTGTGCGCTCCACGAAGCGGAACGATTACCATAGATATCGACATCAAACACAGAGTGCGCCCTGAACAAGGTCATAATACAGTGGCTAAGGTCATAAGCCGAACGCATATGGAAAAAACTTCCTGAAACCCTTAAACCTTTTCACGTGGCTCCGGTTTAACATACCGCTCAAATTCGAGTGGTAGGTATCCATCACGTTACTTTAGCCGCTTTCCAGCTGTGTGCTTCAAGCACAGTGTTCTGTGTTTGAAACACAAAAATTAGCAGCTCTCGAAGCGCAGTACGGCTGGAACACAAGCTACCAAGATATGGCTGTCGAAGCGGAAGAAAAACTTCAACAGAAACTAGAATTTCAGGTTAAAATAATAGAAAATTTAAATAAAGAAATAAAGAAACACAAAGACGAACAGTTGAGTGAGGAGCAAGAAAATAACAGACTAGAATTGGGATTTAAAGACCTAAAACTTAAATTACATGAAACTGAAGAGTTAAACAAGAACATGATTGTATCAATACAAGCTTTGGAAATTGAAATGGAAACCCTAATGAGCGAACTTAAAACTGGTAAAATTGAACAATTTGATTTAAAGAATAATCTTGAGGAACATAGAGACAAATTAAAGGTGCTACAGCAAGAAAATCAACAGCTAAACAAAAAACTAGAAGATGCATCTCTGCGCGAATGCACAATTAAAAACAGTTTCAATGAGTCACCAGAAGATACAAAGCACCATAATGTTATAATCTTGGGTGATAGCACAGTTGTAAACCTTCATAAATATCTAAAAATTCAATCCATGCAGAACTACAACGTGATGACTCTTGTCAAACATAACGGTACACTAGAAAACATAGTCCAGGATATTGACAAGTTTACACTGAATTTTACAAAGCAGGACTTTGTGGTGATATCGGGTGGTTTACAACACGCTTGTCATGGAGGACAAATAGATGCCAAAGCCATTGAAATGTTGTCATTGGTAGGTCAGCGTACAAACTTAATTATGCTATCAGCGCCGCTCTGGGGAAACCGTAGAATATTAAACAAATTTATTGATAAATTTAATGTAACAATCTTTGAAAAATTACGTAACTCCTTTGCAAAATATTTAAATATTAATTCTTTTTTAAACTCAATGTACTTCATCTCTAATAAATACTTAGTATTGAGAAATATAGGTAAGGTTAAGTTAGCTGAACAATTGGATAACCTTATAGTTAATTTGGGTAGGAATAATGAGAGTAACAGTCCATCACATTTTTTACATTAAAAAGCAACGACGTTAGTAAACATGCTAAAGAATCAGAACTCACATTCTTTCTACTTAATATACAGTCGTTACGTAATAAGACGGACGAAATTCTTATTTTACTTGAAAATAACAACTTTCCATCATTTGTTCTTCTAACTGAGCACTGGCTGTTTGAGGACGAAATGTGCTGTATTCCAGACTATGAGGTCATATCAAAATACTCTAGAAAAAACGAATATGGGGGGACACTTATATTAGGGCATAACAATGTTCTTTCTAACTACGAAATTGCTAATATAGACTTTTATAATAGTTTTATCTTAGAGAAACAGTTTGAATTTTCCATCATACATGTTAAAAAGTTAAATGTTTACGTAATGTCTATATATAGGTCCCCATCAGGAATAACTAATGTATTTCTAGATTGTCTTGAAGGTATTTTAAACAGGTTTCCCAATAACGCCAAAATTGTCATCGCGGGAGACTTAAACATCGATTATAAAGACCAAAATTCATCAGACACGAAACTACTGGTCAATTTATTAAATTCGTTTAATTTAACCGTCTTTGTGAATGAACCAACTAGAATCACGCAACACTCTTCTAAAATTATAGATTATTTTTGTAGCAATTTTGAGTGTGATAACCTTAGCTGTAGCGTTATACCTTCAGGACTTTCAGATCACGAAGCTTTGGTTGCTAAACTAATTATTTCTTGTGATAAACCCAAAAAAGAGCAAGTAAAACGTAGAGTTTATAGTAGTAAAAATTACAATAGCTTTAAAATTTCAGCCAACCAACAAAACTGGTATGAATGCCTAACAGCAGCAGATCCAATTCAGTCATTTCAAACAAAAATAAAAACGATATTTAATAAAACCTTTCCTCTTCGTAAAATTAAAGTTAAAAATAAGAAGAAACTATGGATAACCAAAGGTATAAAAACTTCAGCGCGCAATCTAAGATCTCTCCACACAATACGTAAGTTTACCACTTGTCAAAATATTATTGCACACTATAATAAGTACCGTACAATTTACAGAAGCGTATTAAAAAAGGCAAAAGAAATTTATTATAAAAAAAGAATTAATGATGCGGATAACAAGGGCAGAGAGTATTGGAACATTATAAATGAATTCAGAAACGTTGAGCAAAAACATAAGAATAAGCTTAATATTAATCCGAGTGATCTTAACACATTTTACACTTCCATTGCTGCAACATTAACAAGAAATCTAAACTCCCATATTGATCCCTTATCATATTTGGAACCTGCTCAACACACGGAAACATTTAAATTTCAAAATACCGATGGTAATAAAATTAAACACTTACTAAAGACCATAAAAAAACAAAAATCATCTGGTACAGATAATATCTCTTCAAAACTCCTACAAAATTTACCAGACAATGCCATTGACGTTCTAGCCTTAAGCATTAATAGGTCATTTAGCACTGGAATATTTCCTCCATGCCTTAAAACGGCCATGGTAATACCCATTTTTAAGGGAGGCGATAACACCGACCCGTCAAACTACAGGCCTATTTCGCTGTTGAGTACGCTGTCTAAGTTAATGGAAAAAATAGTAAAAAAACAACTTTTAGAATATTTAAACACGCACAATATAATTAATGGGAATCAGTTCGGATTTCAAAGTGCTAAAAGCACTAACGATGCTGTCTTCTCCTTTTTAGAGAGACTTTACCTTAGCCTTAATGATCAGGAGGTTGCTGCGGCGGTGTTCTGCGATCTTTCAAAAGCCTTTGATTGTGTTGATCAAGAGATACTACTGCGGAAGCTAGATCATTATGGTATTCGCGATACGCCATTATTTTGGTTTTCATCTTTACTCTCGGGGAGAGATCAGTTCGTTGGTGTTGGGGAGAGTGCATCAGGGATTCAGACGATCAGTCGGGGGGTTCCTCAGGGCTCTGTCCTAGGACCGGTTCTGTTCCTATTGTACATCAACGACCTCTTATCCTTGCCAATCTCGGCGTCGGTTACTGCTTTTGCTGACGATGCAAATGTTTTGTGGAGTGCAAAGTCTTTAATCAATTTCTGTGCCACCATAGAAAAAGATCTCTCTTTAATAAGTCAATGGTGTGAAGCAAACAAACTCTGTTTTAATATAAAAAAAACAAACATCCTTACTTTTAAATGTGCTTTGACTGACATAAAACTAAGAGACGAGACCATTGAAAACAAATCAACAATAAAATTCTTAGGCATTCACATTGATACACATCTGAAATTTGATATTCATATAGACCAACTCACAAAAAAACTAGCCAAAGGATGTTACGTCATAAGAGTAGTTGCACGGGAACTTGGCAAACAAGCAGCAAGGGCGGCTTACTTCGCTCTGGTTGATGCACACATACAGTATGGGATAGCTTTCTGGGGTAACACAACAGACAGTCTGTTACATTCGGTGTTCGTTCTACAGAAAAGAGCTGTTCGTTGTATGTGCAAAAAAGGATACAGAGAATCATGCAGGTCCCTGTTTAGGCAGGAGGAAATACTAACGGTGTCATGCATTTTTATATTGGAGTCAGTCTGCTTGGTATACAAAAAATTCTTTGGTTATTCTTATGAAAGAAATTATAATTTTAGACACAATAACTTGCCATTGCCAATTCCAAAATCTACACTCACAAAAAAATCATTAATTTATGAAAACATCAAAATATTTAATCACTTGCCGCAAGATATTAAAATCATTAACAATTACAAATTATTTCGCACTACAGTTAAAAAATTTTTAGCAACCAAAGCATTCTATAACTTGACGGAATATTATCTTAACCGAATAACTTAGTAAATAACATAATTCGTTTAAACTTCAACTTCAACTAATAACACTGTTCGTGGTGAGTTTATTTGATAAAATGATCGACTTTTACTGCGCATATCTTGATCTTAAATGTGGTATTTTTTGTTCTATACTTTCTTTAAGGTTTCAGCCACTATGTGGGTTTCTAATTTGTTTTTGGGAACTTGCTATTTTATTCTATTTTATTTTATTTTAAGTTATTTTATTTTATTTTATTTTATTTGTTTAGTCTACTTAAGTATTGCATGATTTTAAAGTTTAATTGCTTACCTATTAGTAATAAGAATTGCTTTGTCAATGAAATATGTGTATTTTGAGACAATAAAGCTTATTGAGATTGAGATTGAGAACACGAACACGCGCTTGAAGCATTTGCGCGCGCAAAAGCTCGATTGCCTGCTCAAAAGCGTCAGCTGGAAAGCGGCTTTTGTAACCGGGTTAGAAAACGGTATGTCATTTCTCTAACCGTTTTGTAACCCGGTTAGTTAAACCGGAGTCACGTGAAAAAAACTCTTGACACAGTTTTCACGTCACTAACCTCAAAAAAAAAATTGTTTTTTTTCTTAATTTTAATTTTATTTTACTAGTAAATGAGTAGGTAAATGGTAATAGATCCAAAATATTTCTCTGGTTCTCAATCCATCCATCCAGGGAAAAAAATGCGAGCTCAGGGTACGTGCTCGATTAACCCGAACGCTAAAGAGAGCACTCTGCGCGCTAAAACGAACAGGATCTTATCGTTTCGAGCGCGCTCAAGATGTAAAGCCGAACTCGGCCCAAGTTTACCTTAAGGTCCGTATTCATAGTGGATGCTCAAGGTTGCGTCTTGGCTCAAGTACG